GGCTAGTACCAATCTTACCCCTAAAATTTTGACTTGAGAATTTATAGGTTTTTAATTTTGAGACTGGCCTTATGATGACAAAGTTTTAAACATTTTGGAACAATTCAGAAATTCCAATTGAGGATCTAATTTAGAACTGGAAACCTTTTTTCGAACCAATTTAGAACACTTTGGAGCTTCAATAGGGCTCTAAAATACTTCAAAATCTGTCAGAACAATTTAGAAATTACTGAAAAACTTCTAAAATGCTCCAGAACTCTACAAGCCACGTTATAACACTTTAGAACTTCGATAAGCCATTTAGAACGTTCCAAAACACTTTCCAGCAGCATCTTGAAACGCTTCAGAACGATTCAAAAACCTCAGAATTCGTTCAGAGAGCCTAGCGCCTGGGAATGGATAAAAATTGACAGTTATAAAACGTACAAACGTAGGTTTAAAAATAAGGAAATATTAGCAAGAAAATGTTTCTCTTTCGACTCAAATTCTTGAACTTTTATAATTTTTCCTATTCCATATGCTCTTGATTTTTTCCATTTCAAGGAATTCTCTATTCCCGTATTTCAGAATTTCAGCCTTTTGATTGGTATTTTAATTTTTGCTCCTGGCTGTACTTATGTTTTTCTTCCAAAATGAATTTTGCGCGTTTCCGTTCAAAAGAAATCAACAATTTAAGGGCCTAGTGTTTGAAATAGACAAAAATTGAAAGTTATAAAATCAGTTAAATAATGAACGTCTGCGAGGCGTCAGGTTTTGTAACATACGACGTCTTCAAGATGCCTTTACGACGCCTTGAAGACGTAAGCAGACGTCTAAAAGACGTCTTGAATGTCTCTTGTAGACATCTTAGGACTTAGGGACGTCTTTAAGATGTCTCTGTGCTGTCTGGGATGAGATGACTCTAATAAAGTGTCTGGTGCAGGTTTCTTGGTCATTTCAATTGGCATCAATCTATTAACACTTTGTTTCCAACCCCAAACTTCTGGATTGACAGCGAGCAGCATCTTTTGTCAGAGACGACGTTGCAAGATTCACTTTGGTTTCGATGGAAGATTTACTAAAGCGCTGGTAACTAAACTCTATCTGTAGATTTTTTTCCATCGTACAAAACTACCAAAAACCTTTCGCCAGCTTCTGCTACTTCATCTTCTCTGGTATTTGGGTCAGTAAAAATTTGGATACCTGCACAAAGATTTCGGTTTTTCAGTAGAAATTGTAAAAATTTTGTTTTCCTTGACTGAATGCGTATAGAAAGAATATATGTTCTGAGGGATCCTTGTGTCTGTTTTAGGGAAAACAATTCATCTTGAAAATCTTTGAAAATAATTTTTTTTAGCGGAAAACGGCCGAACACGTCAAATTTAATATTGAGGGGGCATGTTATGGCATACTTATAGGTACCTGCGTTTCTCTCCCTTCATCCCCCTATACCCTTCAGAGCCACCCCATGATTTTTTTTTTAAATAGGGAGAGGGTTTGAGTGATACCTTGATTAGAAGGTAATTTTATTCTTCACATGATCCTGTTTTTGTTTTTTATTTTTATCGGTTCGTTCTTAAGAAATATGGATGAACGAGTCTGAATATTAATTTTATTGAAGAAAATAAAAAGTTTACAATTATTTTATTATTATTATATGCCAATGAGGACCAACTGGCTTTACTTGGGTTACCAGGTTGTTTATCTCTAAGTTTATTGAAACGTTTAGCCTCAATTATTAAGGGAGCAAATGTATCTTTCAAATCTTTAGAGAGTGTCATTAAAGCTTATAAATCTTGTTTCGATGGCCTGGGAGAGTTTCCCACAAGCCACCATAATATAACCTTGAAAAATGACGCAATTCCGCATGTTCAGCCTCCCAGAAGGGTCCCTAAAACACTCCATGACAGATTAAAATGCAAGTTAGAACAACTCGAAACACAAGGTGTAATTGACAAAATTGAACGTCCTAATGAGTGGCTGAACCCGCTAGTAATTGTAGAGAAAAAAAATCATGACTTGCGACTTTGCTTAGACAACGCGAACATTTTTTGATACCTACAGCTGAAGAAATTGCTGTCAGATTGTGTGACAAAAAATACTTCACAGTTCTTGAAATGAAAGATGCTTATTTCCAGGTGAAAATTGATGACCAGGGCCGGTATTCTCGTTTTCGGAAACGCTCACCACTTTTTAGTCGCTCGGCACTTCTAATGTGGATTTACATTAAAAGTGCTGAGCGACGAAAAAGCGGTGAGCGTTTTCGAGAACCAGAATACTGGCCCAGAGCGCGGATTATACAACCATTTGGTATGCCTTTTGGGCGTTATAGATTTCTTAGGGCATATGTTCTGCGCCTGAAGTCTTCCAAAGAAAGAACTGTAAAATATTTGGTGACCTTGAAGGAGAAGGACTTTACTTTGATGATTTAATTATACCTGGCAGTAATGAGCTTCACCATGACAGAAACCTTCAGTTAGTTCTAGAAAGTGCTTTAAAATACAACATCAAATTCAAGAGTGCGTTCGAAATCACCCTGGGCGTCAAACAGAGTGCACACCAGCCATGCATTTTTCATGGCTGGTGTGCACTCGGTGTGATTCCCAGGGTGGTTTCGAACGCACTCCAATAGTTCAAAAATTAAATTTAAATCCGAATCTGTCAAGTTCATGGGCCAAATTTATTCTAAAAATGGTGTTAAACCTAACAAAAACTATGTAAAAGCTATAATAGATTTGCCAACTCCGACTGACAAAAATGGAGTTTTAAGAATTAAAGGAATGGCCAAGTTTTTGGGCAAATTTTTACCTAACTGGTCCAAAGTTACTATGCCTCTCCAGGAGTTAACAAAGCAAGATGCCACATTCCACTGGTCTACCGAGCAAGAGCAATCACTTTCTCAACTTAAGCATTTCTTAACAACTGCCCCTGTACTAAAATTTTTTGATTTTTCAAAAGATGTGGAAATTGAAACCGATGCTCCAAAAGACGGTCTGAGTGTGTCTTTATTACAAAAAGGGCATCCAATTGCATTTGCTTCAAGAAGCTTTACATCAACAAAACAGAAATATGCTCAAATTGAGAAAGAGATGCTGACCATTGTATTTGCAGTTCAAAAATTTCACTTTTCCATTTACGGTCTACGAAATGTCAAAATAAACTTAATAAAGTCTAATCATAAGCCTTTGGAGTCTATAATGAATTAAGATTTAGCTTTACTAACACCTCGCTTGCAAGAATGCGATTTAGGCTCTTGAATAATGATTTACATGTTACTTACCTGTATATCGGTGATACATTATCAAGAGCGTTTTTATCGGAATCAGGTTTGAAAAGTGATAGGAAATTTAACTTTGCAATTCATTCAGTAATAAAAAATATGTCAATGTCAGATGAGGGAATTAAAACAGCAATTTAGAGTGGAAACCAAAAATGACCTACAACTAAAAATATTAATTCATTACATTACTGCTCAAATGGGTGGCCACTACCTACCAGATTTTTCTCGACATTATTTCAAAATCAAGGATAATTTAACTTTCGCAGATGGGCTGTTATTATTTTCTGAAAAAATTGTTGTGTCTCTGTTTCTGCGGTTTGAAATTATAGATCTTTTACATGAGGGTCATGTGGGAATCGAGAAATACTGGCTCGGTATCAATGAAGGTATTGAAAATAAAAATAAATTGTGCAAAATTTGTGAAACTAATTCTCGGAAGCAACAGAAAGAATCATTAATTTTATATCCAATACCTGAACGACGTTGGGAGAGGCTTGGCTTTTATATTTTTACGTTTCTGGAAAAAGCTACTTGGTCACTTTTGATTCATACTCGAACTGGATTGAGTTATGTTGTATAAAAGATAAATCGATCAAATCTATTATAATTTCTTTAAAAAAGGTACGTGTATTGTATTTACAGCAAGTACTATAACAAAAACGCTAAAAATTTGAAACCTTATTTGAAACCTGATTGCGATGTCACTATTAATGATCATGTTCAGAAGGTTAGAAGCAATGGAAGCAGGTAAACTCGTTAGTGAGCACAGGACTCCACGTTCTTACCTTGTTCAGAATAAATATAACAATGTAGTATATAAGGCGTAATCGAACTGATTTAAAGGAGTACTTAAATAAATTCGTTCTCTCTTCAGAATATGATTTAGATGTAGAAATTACGCCAACTCAGCAGGAACATAACGATCAGCTCCAGATCCAAGTTCATTCACCTCTTCAATTCAATTATAGCTCTAAAGCTGGAGATATTTCTTTAAAATCATCTCTTGTCGTGTCTGATGATAACTTAAAAAAAAAAACTAGGTCTGGTCGTATTTCCAAACCTCCTAGTAGGCTTAATCTTTAGGAAAGGACATGTGAGATAATTGGTATTATTGCTTTAGTTCTAATCTAGTTAGTTATTGAATGTGTTATGTACCTAGTACATGGTGGCAACATCAGGACACTGGACATCTGCAGGTCTGATGTCAACCAGTTTGTAGAAACGTCACGGAATAGATCCACGTTTTGTCAAATAAGTTCTCGTCCATTTTATTTCTATTAGTTGTGCTCTATCCTGGAATTGCCAGGATATGACAAAAGGCAAGGTACTTGAACAAAAATCATTCAACTAATGAGAAGTATGTTGATCTTGCGAGCTGTTTACCTAATTCTAAAAGTAATTCTCACAAAGTGAAGTGTCGGAAGAAAGTTTTCCCTTAAGGGCATTGCTCTGAGGTAGCCACACCTGTGGGCTGAGTCGATCAACTTAGTCTTCATACTCTTAGATTCTGATATTATCAATCTATGTTGATTAATATTGTGTTTATGTCTAAAACTGACAGAAAGTTTGACAATACATAATATTTCGCATTTATCGATGATTCTTTTATCAATCAGCCCTTGTGCGTTTAGCATTGATAGCCGTAGAAAGTGAGCTCATGGAAGAGTCCATTATGACCCTGAAATTCGGACCAAAACCTGAATTGAATAAGGCCAGTAAAAGGAAAGAGCTTAATGAAACTTTGGAATTCTAAAAATTATTTATTCAATATTTACCATATAAAAATACTTCCTTCCATTCTGACTTCACTGTAAAAATAAATTGGTAACATTTTACCGCATAACGTGGCAGGATAAAGGCCCATTCACACCTATCAGTAACGTGTCAGTTGTGTGTTGTATCTGTACATCAGTATCGTTGGTAAAACAGGTACATTATAATATCGATTACTTTAAATACACATGTTCATCAACGCACGGCTGTGGTAGGGGAGCTTTTATCATAAGTATGGAGTTTGGGCGCATTTACATTATTCCCTCGGCTTGATCCATCGAATGATGTAAACGAGCCTTTAATGCCCCTGCCGCGAAAATATAAAAAATACTTCGAGGATGATGTAAAATGTAAACTAAATCCATACAAAAAAAGTTGCACTGAACTTATAAAGAACATAAAGACATGATATTTTATGTTTAGTTGGACTATTTCGAAGTGCAGTGGGAGATTTTTGTTATAATATGCAGCAAATGAAAAAAATAAATCTGAAACAATATTTACCTACTAGATAATACACAAATGCAGACTGTATAATGTGTGCGAATAGGCCTTAAATCGAGAAAATTTTCCAAATATTAATTACAAATCTCACGGTTTCAAAAATACGAACCCAAAAAAAAAAAATTAATTTGTTTTTGCCTCTTGGGTTAATATTTTGCATTGAGCAATACCTATATCTAATAATCCAAGTGAGCTAAAATTAAAAATATTAATTACAAAAAATATTTACAATAAAATGGTTATTATAAAATAAAATGATTTCAATTAAAATTCCTTGGTCCCCATGATATGATGTCACATACTTATTTGGTACAGCTATATTATTATTATTGATCAAGAAATTATGTGGACATTTTTTATGTGCTTCAAAAACCCCTTACTATAAAAAAATATTCCAACTACCTATAACTAAGGTTTAAAAAAATCAAAATAGCAGCCTTTTATAAAAAAAACTTACAAACTAAATTACCTATAACTTTAATGATAAAGTTTGGATTGCCTTATGAAAAAAAGTCAGAACTATTTACAAAAGAAAATGTGATTTTAATAATATTTCTTATATAAATGGTTTCTTATTAATATTGAAAAATCGTTGTCCTTATAGAAAGAAAATGGAAGCATACATTAACATCTAACATGCAGAATAATTTCTAGGCCTTAAAATTGCCAGCAGACACAAAAAAAACAAGCTTGATTTTTGTCTGTAAATTTAAGGGCTGAAAATATCTTATTTCAGATGTGCCTGTGAGTGATTTCTCGAACCATCCAAACTTGCCTAAATAACTACTATATACACTAATACGACAATATATTTAGAAAAAATAGAACTATGACACTACAATTCAGAATTAAGGAAACCGTGATTCCTTTAAATACCTAGGATGCAGAATATTGTGATGTGAACTAGACCTAACTAATCTTGAATCCCTAGGGAACTCCCTAGGCTCAGGAGGCGAATATCTTCGTCTTTGATAACGATTTCTTGGCGGTTCTTCTTGGATGAAATTGCTATCAGGAACATCAATATCTTCGTTTCTTGGTCGATAAAATTCGGTTCCGTAAATATCGATTTGTGGTGATCTATGTTGGTACAAATGACAATCAGAATTTCTTCTCCAAGCTTCCCGATAACGTTTTTCCGCTTCAGTTTGCATCGCAACTCCTGGTTTTTTATTCGAATGAGTCGATGACTCGCTAGAGTTTTCCTCAGAAGTTCCCAAACCTAAATCCTTGTCCATGTCTCCATAAGCTTTATAGGGCTTCTTATTATACCTATCTATGGGCGCTAAGTTAGCATTTCTCAAATTACTACTCAAATTGCTTCCGTTAAGTGTAAATTGAGGATGTGGTATACAATAAGGATGCGGCACAGTTTTTTCCATTTGAGAGGGTTTCAAGTCTTCTTCTTCATCGTGTTTAGTACAAGAACCTGGACCGAATAAAGATAGGAGAACTGGTAAAAGAAATAGTCCGTGCATGGCTCCTAGGAAAACTACTAAGAATATCATTTTGAAGAAGACTGCAAAGATATAATTGTTGGCTAGGATCAAAGCAAGCATTCCCAGAATTGTACTAACAGAACCTGAAAACAATTTTTTTCTTAAACTTATTCAACAAGTATGAACTTAAATATTACCTTGGAAAATAGGTAATCCCAACGCATATAAGGCTTCCCTCATTTTTCCCTTGGGGGTTTTTGCAGTAGAAGACATGTAGGCATAGCAAATATGTGCTGTAAAGTCTACACTAAATCCAATACACATAATTAGATTTATCATGGAAATTGAATCTAAGTTGACTTTCCATAAGGCCATGTAACCTACAACTCCTAGTTCTATGGATATTATACTGAAAGCTACCCAGAAAGCGCAGAATATATTAGGGATGAAAATGAAGGAGACTAACATCATTATGCCACCGCCTATTATGACGTTTTGGATTGTAAGAGGGCGCACAAGTTCAAACTGAAAAAAAAAGAATAAATGAATTTATACTTTTTTAAATAAAAGTTTTAAAGGTTTTTACCTGGTCAAAGAAGACAAAATACGGATGGAACACTGTAGCATTAAGTGATGATTCTTTGCAAATTTTTCTTAAGGCTCGAACCATTTCTTTTTCGTGCTCTGTGCCAGATATATTAACCGCTTGAATCAAAAACCTCATAGCAATGATTTTTTCATTTTTCTCATCAAATTTCACATCCAGAGAGAACGGGCTCGATGGGTCAAGCCATTTTCGCTAGAAAACAAAAATATATTAAAAATAATTGAAACTAACCATTGACTTTGGAAAACTTTTTGGCTGAATTTGTGAAAAAATAGCACAAGTAGGTATAATAAAGAGATATCAGTTTAGTTGTGTCATAATAAACCATTTATAAAGGTACGTTTCCTTCTACCAATTTGGTTTTTTTGAGAGAAAGAGCTGCTCTGGAATCATTCCAAAGAACCATGCATTTTGAATCTGCATGACCCAAACTAACCCAACATAGTTGGTTTGATATGCCTATTATGTTAATGTATATAAATTCTTATCAAATTCTTACCTCTTCCAAAGCATTCATAAAATCTTTTTCCGAATTAATCGAAAGATTGAGATAATCAGCATTTCTCTCCACATATTGCAGAAAACTTCTTAACCAAGACTCTGTATACAGGCTGTTAGTTATGTAGGAAGTGTTTTCAAATGTCTGGGTCAATTTTTCTACTTCATCTTGAATTTTTGGATCTGAATAATCATATTCGCCAGCAATTATTACTTGCACTCGATACGGAAATTCTCTATAGTAATCATCTTCTCTGTCAAAAAATTCTATGGCATATGAGTCATTTTTAGCAACTTTTCTCCTTTCCAATCCTTCCTCGATTTGGGTAACCCCATAACCAGCACCGACAAGATAGAGGCCAAAGATGAGGATTACTAGGACCTTTACGCAACCGTTGCTGAGAAATGCTGTTTAAAAAAAAAGTATTACTTTTTTTTAAATTTTCATTGAAATTAGGTACCTACCTGCAAAATAATCTCTGAAAAATATCATAAATCCATGCTCCTTATTGTCCTTGGGGTTATCGATATCATCTGGATCTACACCACCACTGCAAAAGACTCTGTATAGCCAACATCTATCGCCTAGAAATTACAAAAAAGATTCATTAACAGGGGCGTCAGTGAGGAAAAGATTTTGTAAACATAATTTTAATTAACCATGAGCCATTTTGGTGAATTTTCTTTATTCCATATTTCCGACAACATCGGAAAAAATATTTCGGTCAATACAAAAAGGTCTCCATCGTATATTTGGAGATAGTTTTCTACATTTTGCTTCTGCTAAAACTTCTATTTCGATAAAAAGCCCAGTTTATTCATTTTCAGATAAACTTGCTCGTAACTATCTGCAAGATAAAGTTATTCTTCTATTGGTCGGCGGATAACTGGCGAATCAATGGGATTACAGATTGCGTTTTTATTCGTCAGATTGCATACCTGACAGTTTATCGGAAGGTGAATAAACCGGCCTTGAGAAAATTTTAGATGCGTATCTAGCAAATATTCTGAAAGACTGGACATACAAAAAATAGAAAATTACTGAGAAATTACTCCTCCAGGGAAATTAGACTTCCTCTCCGGAATGAGGCCGAACTAGCTGAATTTTTGCAGAGACCTTCGTTTTGATGTTCTTATGAAGCACAGAAAAATCTCATATGCCTACCCTTGTGCGTCTTGAGATATCGAAGGTCAAAGATCATGAAAATTGTTTTTTTTGCGAAAATATCGCTTCCAGTGCATCTGACGTCGAAGAACTCCAAACAAAACTTACGTAAAATAGAATTCTCTACAAAATTGCTCATATTCATTTTTTTTCGAACGACCAACCGTTTTCGAGATATAGCGTGATAGAGCGGGAGCGCGCATTCAAAATAGGTAATACTGTATTATACTGCGAAGCAATAACTATAAATGCATTTTTCCTAATCTGTCTAGAAAATAAAACTCTCTCAATAAAATTGTTAAAAATTTGTTTAGTTGGGTATGATAATCATAAACAGGGTCTTAACTCCCGCTTTTACCTTGGATAGGTAAAACTTTCAGCAAAAATAGAAATTTTGGTTTATGGCTTATTCCTTTAAAAAAATTAACCAAATAGAGTAAATTCAGTAGGAAATAAAATTATCTACGTATCACGGGAATTATCAGGTGGTAATACCAACGGGCAATTGGTGTTCCTCGGGCCAAAGGCCCTCGGGACACAAACTTCGCCCTGGGCTATTGACACCCTCATAGTTCCCTGGATACATAAATAACTATTATTAAAAATAAACAAATTTCTAACGATTTTATTATTGAAAGTTTTATTTTCCAGACTAACAGATTAGAAAAAATGCATTTATTGTTATAGCTCCGCAGTATAATAGAGTATTACCTATTTTGAATGCGCGCTTCCGCTTTATCACGCTATATCTCGAAAACGGTTGGTCGTACGAAAAAAATGTATATGAACAATTTTGTAGAGAAAACTATTTCACGTAAATTTTATCCAGGGCTCTTCGACGTCAGATGCACTGGAAGCGAGATTTTCGCAAAAAAAAAAAAACGATTTTCATGACCTTTGACGTTCGATATCTCGAGACGCACAATGAGACTTTTTTGTGCTTCATTAGAACATCAAAACGAAGGCCTCTGCAAAAATTCAGCTTGTTCGGCCTTATTCCGCAGATGGCCTTTTTTTTGTCTTATTTTCCTGGAGTATTATACAGGATATTTTTAAGGAAATCGGAGGAAGTTTAAATGCGGGAGTGTGAGGTAGTACAGCCTAGATGTGCTGTTTCTATGAGGAGGGACGTCATTTCTTCATTTTTACACTTGGTGTCATCCGACAGTTCTGAAGCTGTTCTTTTAAGGAAATTTCCGATTTCAAATTTTCACCTTTGGTAAGGAAATGTGCCGCATCGATACCAGTAACTGCGAGACGACGGCAAATGATAGTTTATATAGCCATCAAAAAACGCACAATCGACAACAATAAGAATAGAATAGAAGATAATCATACTCGGTATCGAGTGATCGCCTATAATGATAATGACCTACTAGACTTCAAAAGTGGATCAATCCCAAGTGTAGGATACTTATAGTATAGCCTCCGAAATTGAATGTTCGTTAATTATCAAGACAAGAAGAATTTGCTTATATTTAATAGACCTATCTATTTTTACCTGGTATGCGCGCGCAACACGAGGCAATGCCTTTTTATTGGCTAACTAGTACAGGTGTGAGGTGATCGTTTTGCATGCTGGGCATGTCCTTGTCCTTGTTCATTGCCCATGATCTGACAAAAATATACGTACAGTTGATATTCGACTTGAAAAGTGTCATTCAAAAGTTGTTTGAAATTTTCACTGACAAATACGTTGCACAACACGCGGTCTTTCTCCTTCCCTTTTTATCCCGTGCAAATAAGAAGGATGGATTGCTATACGTAAGTCTAACATAATTTGGTACGTTTTGCCTCGTCTTGCGCAATGAGCATTCTGTGTCTTTTTTTATCTAATGAAGTTTCCGTATTATTACCTCTTTGTCTGGTAAAATAGATAGGTCTATTAAAGTAAACATTGAATCAAAACTGCTATTTTGTGTAGTGCCAACTATCTAGATAATATACCTAAGTAGGTACATTTTTTCAAAATGCAAAATCCGATTCCTAAATGACACCTCAATTATCTAACCAAAATATACGTTACCGTATTTCAAGAACTTTCACATTATTCAAATTGATTAAACCTACAAATTCCCAGTCATTTGAAAAAAATAATAGGTAGGTATGCTACCACGACACACATTCGCAATTCTGAGTCAATAATAAACTAAACTCACAAGAAAATATAATAACAATTTGTTTATATGAGTTATGCAACATTTAATATAAAATTTTAAGGATTGTATGGACAAGTATAGAAATTCGGAAGCTTGTGAAACTGTTTTATAATGATTAACTAACAGGTAAACATTTAATAATACCATTATCGAAGTGGAAATATCTAGATAAGATGCGGCGCTAAACTTTCGCTGATTTTGATGAACATATAGGTAGCAATTTTCAACCGCTATAAACCCAATTTCAATATCTATTTAAATTAAATTTCCGTTGAAATTTGGCACTTAAAATTCACGATGTTATATTACCTACATTATTCATCGAAGTTGAATATGCATTAAAAGACTATATTTTGAAACTTGCTTTTCTTGAAATATTACGGTTGTTGTAGGTAACCGGAAAGATTTAGGTACCACAATTTTATCAAAAATTCGTAAAAATAAATCCTACGAGAAAAATGTGTTCCATATTGGCTTACGTCAAGAAGAGGAATACCAAAGTAGGCCATCAACTGTTATAATATTATATAAGTAAAACTGGTTCCAACTTATCGGAATACCTTACATAAATTGACCATATTGGAAAGTAGTACGGTACGCGTCGGTGCAGGAAGACAGTCGCGTGTCCTTGAGATGGCCTCGAGATATTATGTCATAGTAAGTGAGGTGAACATACTCGCAGTTCGATGAATTAAGAGAACCCAATAATGGCATTATTCGTATTGTTTGTCTATAATGGACGATGGATCCACCATCCTATGTCGGTCATTGTCATTTTCTATTCACTGAAGTCTCATCTGTGAATTAGACTAAAAATGCACTTTAGATAGGAAATGATCCAGCACATAAAATAGACAGCTTGCGGTGCACACCATCCAACACTTTCATATTTAACTTCATGTTCCAGATTTTTCAACAACTTGAACAATGAATGTTTTAAAATTGAATGCAATAAATCATTATTGTTTTGTTTATAATCCACTACGACTCATTTATATACTAGCTTAGAAATGACATAAGATACTTTTACAAGCAAGATGCAATATATCTAAGAATGTTTCAAGCATGAATTACCTGATTTGGATAAAGGCTGCACCTTAAAGCAAAATACAGAATGTAGATTTTTCTGCTCGCAGTAACCCGAAATAGCAACACAAGCAGCAAAGAATGTCAGATGCCAAATGAATAAAAGTACAGTTGCAGCACCTGAAAAAATCAAGTTAGATAACAGTTTGATATATTTTGAGAGGTTGATTTTACCAGAGTAGATACAGAATATAGTCACAGACGGAAAAGGACTGAAAATTCCAATCCAAAAACTTAAAAAATCTGTAACTGATGTTATGGTAATCGAAACAGCAGCTTCACTTAACATTTGGGCCATTCTCTCAGGTACTGGAATTTTGATTGAAGTCCTTCTCCAAGCCGCTAGCATCACAAAGGTATCGTCAATACCAATACCTAAATTAAAAATATTGTTATTAATTTTACGTAGTAGATATAGTGTTTCAGATTTCTCACCAATCATCAAAAAAGGCGCAGCCAAATTGATTCCAATAAAATCAACTCCAGCATACATACAAAATCCGAATCCACATAAAGTGGCCATAGCTGCACTCAGGTTGCCCAATAAACCTAGCCAGGGTTTGGATCTTACCCAGTCAGACATCATACAAGTTACTAAATAAAATTATTAATTGAAGTTAACCTCGTGGACATTTTTCAGATAGATTTCTTACCAATAGAGAAAATAGCCATAATCAAAAACGTGGATGAAAAATACGGTATCACAGAGCGGGTATTTTTCTCGAGTTCGTGGTCCAATGTTCTCGAAGCAAATCGTGCTATACGAATGTGCTTGAATCGATTTTCGACCTCTTGAACTTTTTCGATTAGATCCAGAAAAGCATCTTCCCATGCACTACCCCTGAAAGAAAATGTGTTTTTTAGATTTGGTTTGGAATTTGAATTTAGACTTCCTATTTTTTAGGTATCCATTTTCACAGCGGCACAATATACTTATTTACTTTATCAGCACAGTTCTTAGAAATCACTGTTAACACTAAGTATCGTCGCTGGGATTGTACTGTTATAAAATAACAGAGATAGCCTTCGAACCCGTATATGTAGTATTTATTGGAGTTGAAATTGAAGAGAGCTTTTGAATTGGACAGTAAGGCGATCAGTTATAGTGACATAGTTTTGCGAACACTTAAATTTAAGTCAAGTTTCGCTAGTTGTAGTGTGATTTTTGTGTTATTTTCTTAAAATTAAATTATTGCGAGTTGGGAAAAGAAGTCTCACTTATCTACGAATCGACATACGTTACAATTGGTGAGGTGCGAGCAAAGAAATGTTCATCTACGGTGAAAACGAGACAAGACGACAAGATAGACCGCCGAAATGGAAGATCAGATTAACCACTGTGCCCGCTTTATTGAAAAGTTTATAGAAAGAGGAGGAAGAAGGCAGACGACTGACATAAAATCAGGCAGAAGGAAATAACGACAGAAAAAAAGTAACAGGAAGAACAAGTCAAATGACAGAGACAAACACAGGAAGAAGAAGACTGGCTTGAGAAAATTTTGCAAGGCAAAGAAGACAGACGACAGAAACGGAGAAGAGGGTCGTTTCCAGTACATATTTGAGAAAATGCGAGGCGAATATGAAAGACGAACAGGAACCAAGACAGAAACATATGAACGAGATCGTAAGGGCTCGCTTGAGAGGTGTGTGTGGACTTCGATAATGTCATGGTGCTTGACAAAAATTTCCCTGTCAAATTTCAAGACACTTTTCGCCTGGATTCGTAATGTCAACCTAAACTGATCTGACTAAATCTGAAGAAATGTGTTCTGTTCCAGAAAAAAGGTGAACTTTTCCGAACATGTTGCATCTTGAGAAGGATGAATACAGGAAAATTTCAAGCGGTACGAGATTGGTTCCTAGAACTCTGCAGGCACTACCGTGGGTTTGTCAGGGATTTTGGGTAGAATGCAAAGCCGTTACATCGACTTACTAAGAAGAACGATCATTTTGATTGAATTTAAAAATGTCAACGTTCTTTCAAGGGGCTGGAAAATAGATTGACAAGTTTAATCCTTTCCCATGGATAAAAATTTGTTTGTGGTATATAAAGTAAACTCCGACGTAAATTAGAAATGGAAATGGTACATCCAACTGGAGATCAACTATCGGGGGAAGGGCCTCAGATATGATTGAATCGCGAGGAGAAATTGAGTAGTTCTGATCTCGTTTTCCCTGCAGGAGAATCGCCTAGATATCGCAGATCCTTTTCCTACAAAAGAGTCGGGAAATAAGTATAGGTACCTACCATCCCATGGACTATTTTTCAAAGTAACCAGAAGTAGTTTCAATTCAGGGAGCGGTAATGGTTACTGATGATATAGATGGAACTTTTCACGGATCAGGGGACAATTTTTGATTCCAAAACATGGAAACAACTGATGATCGACTTCACTTCATCCACAACCCGACGAAATGTTCGATATCTTTGTTGAAATTTGCATATAACGTTTCAAATTTTGTCACTAATGTTAAAAATGTATCACACTTCGAATCAGGTTGCAAATTTATAAAAAAAAATTTGGGGTCAGTTAAGTTAGCCCCCATAGAAAATTTCTGGATGAAAATTATCCCATAATTTTGCTCTCATTTTGCTCCATTTTGCTCCACTAATTTCAATTTTTGCTCCATTACAGTGGAGAGACTATATGGCCTATTAGGTGGGGAAAGGGGCTGAATTAACGCTAGCCCCCCTTCCAGTGAAAATTCAGAAATTTGATCATTCTCATTTTGTTCTCCGAGTTTTGCTCCATTATTGGCGTGTTTTGCTCTCCATTACCAGGAGAGACCTACAGAGCTCCCAAGAATCTCTCCCAGCCCTCTTCAGTGAAAATTCTGAAATTTGATCATGCTCATTTTGTTCTCCGAGTTTTGCTCCATTTTGCTCCATAATCGGCGAGTTTTGCTCTATTACCAGGAGAGACCTACAGAGCTCCCAAAAATCTCTCCTAGCCCCCCCCCCCCCCCCGCCGGTAAAAAATTTTGAAATTTGAACATGCTCATTTTGTTCTCCGAGTTTTGCTCCATAATCGGCGAGTTTTGCTCCATTACCATAGCTGCTTTCGGATGTGCCACCCATTGAGCGCTCCCGAGTTACTCCAAAGTACTCCGGCTACAGTTTGACCCGTTCGGTTTCAAGCGTTCGAGTGCAAAACGCATGGAGTATGACAGGTCACTGACAGGTGTGAAGTGATCTAGGAGCACCCGAAAGAGGCTCAGGAGAGACCTTACAGAGCTCCCAAAAATCTCTCCTAGCCCCCCCCGGTAAATTTTTTTAAATTTGAACATGTTCATATTATTCTCCGAGTTTTGCTCCGTTTTACTCCATTATCGGCGAGTTTTGCTCCATTACCAGGAATCACCTACAATGCTCCAAAGAATCTCTTCTTGCCCCCCAGTAAAAATTTTGAAACTTGAAATTCGGGTGCAGTGTGCGAAGCACCTGGAATATTTCACGCCTATTATACTCAATGCGCTTTGCACTCGAACTCTTGAAAATCAGTTACAGGTGCATCAGGGGAAACAGGCGGGGAAAGTGGGAGCAGCTTGAGAGCGCCAAACTCTGTTCGCTCGAATGTGTAAAATTGTAGCCGGAGTACTTCGGACTAACTCGAAAGCGCTGAGCGCTCAAAGCGTGACATCCGAGAATGGCTCGTGATGGAGCAAAACGAGCTGATCATAGTGCAAAATGGAGCAAGAGTCGGAGAACACAATGAGGAAGTTCAAGTTTCAAAATTTTCACTGGGGGCGAGAAGAGATTCTTTGGAGCTCTGTAGGTCATTCCTGGTAATGGAGCAAAACTCGCCGATAATGGAGCAAAACGGAGCAAAATTCGGAGAACAAAATGAGCATGATCAAATTTCAAAATTTTCACTGGGGGGGCTGGGAGAGATTTTTGGGAGCTCTGTAGGTCATTCCTGGTAATGGAGCAAAGCTCGCCGATCATGGAGCAAAATGAAGCAAAACTCGGAGAACAAAATGAGCATGATCAAATTTCAGAATTTTCACTGGGGAGGGGGGGGGGGGGGGGAGAGATTCTTGGGAGCTCTGTAATGGAGCAGAACTCGCTGATTAAGGAGCAAAACTTGGAGAACAAAATGAGCATGTTCAAATTTCAAAATTTTCACCGGGGGGGGCTAGGAGAGATTTTTGGGAGTTCTGTAGGCCTCTCCTGGTAATAGAGCAAAATTCGCCAATTATGGAGCCAAATGGAGAAAAACTCGGAGAACAAAATGAGTAGGTATGTTCAAATTTCAAAATTTTTACCGGAGTGCTTTTTGGGAGCTCCGTAGGTCTCTCATTGTAATAGAGCAAAATGGAGCAAAACTCGGAGAATAAAATGAGCATGATCAAATTTCAGAATTTTCCATGGGGGGGGGGGGGGGCTGGGAGAGATTCTTGGGAGCTCTGTACGTCTCTCCTGGTAATGGAGCAAAACTCGCCGATAATGGAGTAAAATGGAGCAAAACTCGGAGAACAAAATGAGCATGATCAAATTTCTGAATTTTCACTGGGGTGGGGGGGGGGGGGGGGCTAGCGTTAATTCAGCCCCCCCCCCCCACCTAATAGGTCACGCAGTCTCTCCACTGTAATGGAGCAAAAATCGAAATTAGTGGAGCAAAATGAGAGCAAAATTATGGGATAATTTTCATCCAGAAATGTTCTATGGGGGGCTAACTTAACCGACCCAATTTTTTTTTATGACGATACTTTTTGAAATACATAATTTCAAATCGAAATCCTTATATACAAGGAAGTTAAATGGCTCCCTAAGCGTCATAAAATGAGGCTAAAACTTAATACATAATATTTCCATAAAATCAATGGGAAAAATTAAAACTGATATCGCAACCAGATTAAACTAATTAAATAAAGCTCTGACCATGAATTTGAACGGCTGTAAGTGGTACCTATCACAATTAATCGTCTGTGAAGAGATTGAATAAACATTTATTACTTTTAATCTAAATAGGCAATTGATATTATGTTTCTATGTTAATATAATTAAAAGCTGTTGGAATTATTTATTTCAAATACTTACATCGTGTCAATCTTTTTACTATCAGCATTTCCAAAATAAACCAATTGAACTGAAGGAACGCTTATTACAAATCCATCTTCGCTTACTTGGGTACCACCGAAAAACACTGGCAAAGCGTGCACATCAAAAGTAACAGTGTTTAGAGTTAAAGGAAAAGTTAGGTTTCTTTCACCGGACTCTACTTCGTCCATGATATATTCCAAATTTAATATGTCGTTCTGAAAGCAGTCAGTCATCCATTTGGCACAAATTTCGTTATAAGTAAAGTATTCATCCTGGTACGTTACAGTCATGTTCTGGATAAGTTCGTCTAAATATCTCATTTCTTTCCAGACTTCCATACGTAGCATGTTTTTGTTTCCATCTTTGGTCGTCAAGATTACTCTTCCAAATCGACCTGGAATTGAAAAGTAATTGGATTAAAAAAAAAAACAATGCAGGTATCACATGTTTCGAAGTTGATTTATTATTATTCAGGAATTTTGCCTTTTTCTTTAATAAAATTATTATAAATTATTATTGTAGGTATGCACGCCCAAACGATTTGTTTTACATTAGCTTGCAACAACGTTTCACGACATTCACCTTTTTTTTTCTAATTCGTTTAAAAGGGCGGTGTCACGTTTAATAGATCATCTAGATAATGAACTTTTATGAAATTCTAGGCATTGGGAACATAATTGGACGCAAAGTTGCATTGATTTTTGAAGGAGAGAGAGATTAGGAAAATTGTGAATTTTTGAACTGAGTTTGGATTATGATATTGCCAAGGAGAAATTTTTCTCGGAAAAACTCGCGTGTTTGAGATTATAAAAACGTAGGTAGTTGCTAAAAATGTTAACGAAGGGTGTAAAATGATAAGGGCGGGTATTATAAAACTATTTTGACAAATAACTAAAAGTTAACTTCTGGAATGACGTCACATCTCATAGTCATTCCAGAAGTTATCTTTTAGGTATTTGTCAAAATAGTTTTATAATACCCGCCCTAAGAAATCTTGAAAAGACTTTGGATTATCTTTTTAATAATTCAAACAACTTTATCAATGTCGTTCTTTCTAAACTGGTATATTTCATGAGGAATTTTCTACATGTTTTCAAGAAATATTTTCGTTCTTAATTAAGTATTAGATATTTTAAAAAGTTAAGGTCATCTTTAGGAATCTTTTATGTATTATTTCTTCATTCTAGATTTTTTTACCGGTCTCCCAAACAATATTCAAGCCAAATTGTTTAGTGCCTGTTTTAAACACTTTTTCAGAAAGTTTCTTAGATTTAAAAAAATATCAAGGTTCCAAAAAATGATTTCTGTCATTCATTACGTTTTTGTGCTAATTTCTAGATGTTTTAGGTATTTAGTTATTTTATTTTTAGTTTGCTTTCCATTCTATTATTCTCAGGCATACGTGAATATGTTCAGTATTTCAATTTTTTGTAAATCTTCACAGGCCTCTAGAAATTGTTACATCTTTTTTAAACGTCATTGTTCTAAAGGTGCGTTTACCGTCTATCGTTGGACGTTGGAGAGCGTTCTAGAAACGCACTACAACAACTAGCGTCGAATAGCAATAAAGACGTGTTTACATTACTCAGGACGAGATTTAAGTGAATTGAGAGTTACACTATGATATTCTGTCTTTTAAATGAATCTCCTGTGTCTCATCCAGGGTGAAAGAACACGCATACCAGTATCGCTTTGAAGTTTCACCTAACTTTTAGTAGTAAATCTGTAAAAGACTCATCAGTAGGAACATATATCAGGATCTTCCATTCCAAGTTGACTTTGGAGGTTATCTGATCATTCTGATGCACCTGTGACCCTCTATTCCGTATCCACTTCAACCTTTGTTTTTTATTCCAAAAATTAACTCTTGATTCATTGGCTTCCATTCAAATCATTTGAGAATTCTCTTAGCACAAAATTGATTACTTTCGCCATATTAAATCAACTGACGTGTGTATAAGTGAACACATAATTGCATGGAAGTCACTTAAAATCAACTGACTTTAACAACACACTTGAATGATGTGCCTTAAAGGGGCAGCGGACATTGTTTTTATTGTGGATTTGCACATTCTCAGAACTTTCATTTTATTTTAAAGAAGGCCAATTATTATGGATTCAGTCTTTCCCTTAATAATATGAGGTGGACTAATATAGCATTTCCTCCGTGAATGTTTTTTGCAACATTGCAACGATATCATTTCCTCCTAGTTTTCGATTTCTTAAAACCATGGGTGCAATAAAATGTCTGTCCATCACCCATGAGACAAATGTCGCTTTTATAACTTCGAGAAATAAATCACTTTTCTACTAAAGATCGGCTACACAAGACTGACGTGCGAGAAGGAACAGTCCGCAAGAATGCACACTTGCGTCAATCGCATGCTTTCGCCGTTTCACAGGAATCGCACCTTGTGGATTTTTGTACGGAAGGATCAAGCAAAACAATTAAACGTGGTTTATTCATTTATAATTTTAAGATGTGGAAAACTAAAAAAAAAAATAGTGATTGTCCATATTCTACGTCCGTTGCAAGTATTCAAGTATATATTGCTGTTAGACGACTACAGAACAATAATTCGAACTTAGAGGTGCCTCCATAGTTGCCATTTTCAAAAAGGGAGACCAGGCTCAATGTGGACGAGGAGAGTGTTTTCAAATAACTACAGGCGTTGAACAGGGTCGTGTTATTGCACCGAATTTATTTTCTTTATATCCATACTTCATTTTGTCGAGCGTCACCTGCAGTCAGGAGTGGAAATCCTGGTACAGACTTGATGACGGCTTATGCAACTTAAACAGATTATGAGCCAAGACGAAAGTATTGACGACATCGATTATTTAACTTCAATATAACGTCGTGATGGCCAATATAGAAAGATCTTCAAATATTCAATGCATTCAACCAGGTATACAGGAGAATCGGCCTAGAGGTCAACTTTAAAAAGACACAAGACGCAGATTCTGCACCAACCCGCACCAAGCGCTAATCCCCAAGCCCAAAATATAACTATAAATGACCATTCTTTGAAGAACGTAGAACACTACCCATACCTTGGGAACCAGCTGTCAGCAAATGCAACCATTGACGCTGAAATGCAACCTCGCTTGAAGCGCGGCGTTCGGAAGACTTCTAGAGAGAGTCTTCAACAATCACATCAGTGCTGAGACTAAACTTCGCGTCTACAATGCAGTTGAAGTACCAACACTCACAAATATGGCTGGGAGTGCCAAGATTGTGGAAGAGTTTGCGGTTCCAGAATTGGTTGGCAGATTCTTGCAGCCGACAGAAATTCAAGGATTTCATTTATCTTTGACCTCTAAGGGCCCTCCGCGGGTGAAAATCAACTGTGAGTATAAAAAATCGAGAAAAATAGATAGAATCTTCAACTAGTGAATCTTGTTCGTGAAATAATAAACAATCTATCGATAGATATGTTGGCAAAAAGAAAAGTTAACAATACTTGCAATGTGTAGCTCCATATCACATTTGAATAAAAAATACTTTGTTCTTCACATATCCCAGTATCTTGCGCCTCGCGTCAGTCGTTGCTACAGGGAACCATGATGAAAACAAACCTCCACAAGAAAAAATAGGCGTCAGAAAGAAAAACAGAGAGAAAAAGGGAAGAACAATAAACAAGACACGACACAAAGAAAAACAAGAAGACTGGAACCGACTAAAAAAGGGATTGAAAGACAATTAGGAAAAACAGAAATAAAGACAGCAAAATGTTGAAGGGATTGCCGGATTGGATTATTCCAGAAAATGCGATACAAGAAGTCACGGGCGGAATAGAAACAATCCTCAGAGAAGTTGAAGGCACAATAGGAACAGTTCGCGAACAATTCGAGAAGAAATATACCGGTAGATAACTGGAGCAGAATTCGAAATAAACGAAAGCGAAATGTCTAGACTATTCTAGAAGCAATGACGCTCTATAAAACGGAGTCGGCCATCGAAAAAAAGTTACTTAGTATCTTGATACCGATAAAAATAAAAATGTGAGGTAATGTAAAAATTAAACGAAAAAACGGAATTTTTCAGAAAAGACAGATTGAAAATCGGCACAAAACTAAACGATAGTCCAAGTAAATGAAGTTGAAATTTTTGCTGTCAATGCATATTTCAATAGTTCCGCACCGTTTAAAAAAAATATTCTTCATACTGCAACATTTTTTTCGAAACTAATCTCTTATGGACAAGGGCACAGAATACAAGGGTATCTCGCAAATCCTGCTGAAAGTATTAGAAACACGATTACACGATTTAGTGGGATTTTTTAAACGTTGCGTCTCGTTTGCGGTATTTACCAAGTTATACAAAGTGGATATCACTTCCCCTGTTTATTTTCGATGATCAAAAATTATTGCCGGGATTCGCTACCAATAATTCTGAAAATACTCGTATAGTTTTTGATACAAATCTTGTAGATAAGTACCATTATCTCAGGCATTCAAAGTTTGTGATGTAAATATTGTTTTTCGTGTGTTCAAGAATAGAGACCAAGTTTAAGTTCAAAAATAGGCTGTCACAATAGGGAGTGACAGACTAATCTAACTTTAGTGGTAGTTGTTTTTGGTTTGGAGTTGATCTGAATGTTTTTCTAGAAAGGAATATTATTTTCATTTTTCTTCGTAACTTCGGTGAACAGCACAGAAAAAGTTTCAGGAAGTCAACACGAGCTCTCAAAAGTGCTCCTGGATACCTTCAGTATCAGGTGCTCTTTATATGTTGCTTTTCAAAGACAGCTACACAGGTTACCGGGTAGCTTATTTTATTAAGCACAGAAGTGATACCTACGTGTGAGTACTTTGTTCAGTTTAATAGTTTAATTAAAACAAAATTTGGACACTCAGTGAATGCTTTGCACGTCGATAATGGTCGTGAATTTATAAATAAAGAACTGGAAGCTTACATAAAGAAAGAAGGCATTGAACTAGAAAATATTGCACCCTATACCCTGGAGCAAAATAGTTGACGTGAGAGAGAAAACCGTATCATCTTGGAGAGTGTGAGGTCATTGCTTATTATTGCAAATGCACCTCACTATCACTGGACAGAAGCAGCAAGTACTGCAATATATATTCTGAATCGAACACCTTCTAAGCAGAGCTCCAGCACACCGTATGAGCAATGTACAGGTGAGAAACCATACTTCGGACATGCTTAAACATTTGGCTGTGTTGCATACGTATACACACCAGATCAAAAGCGAACAAAACTAAAGCCAAAAAGTCATAACATGATATTTGTTGGCTATGATAGAAACTCAATGAAAACAAGACATGGATTTTACAAGATTTGGCAGAAGACAGAAAGGCAATTCGATCAAAGTGGGTTTTAAAAGTGAAATACGACAGTCAAGGTAAAATCGAAAGATACAAAGCCAGGTTATGTGCAAATAAGGTCTCGATTATGCTGAAATATTTTCACCAAGAGTAAGGTATGATTCAATCAGAGTTGTTTTATTTGTTGCTCAAAGGCTACAAAATCAAACAGTTTGGCATCAAGACAGCCTTCTTATATGGTGAACTTTCAGAAGAAATATATATGCAGGTACCTGAAGGGTTCCCGAAGACTGACAAAGTGTGTAAACTAATAAAATCACTATATGGACTCAAACAAGCACCCCGGTGCTGGAACCAAAAATTTGACAGCGTTCTAAGACAGTTTGGTTTCAAACAATGCCAAGCTGACAAATGCACCTACCAAGGTACAGTTCAAGAACATACAGTTTTGGTCATTATTTATGTTGACGACGGACTACTGATGTCAAGCCGTCAGACTGCATTAGAAAATTGTTCTTACTGAGCTGCAGATATGCTTTCAGATTAAGGTGAGCAACGTTAGCAATTTTGTTGGACTAGAAATAATAGAAAACAAACAGAAAAACTCTATTTTTATCCATCAAACAAGTTACAAGGTCCTTACTGAGAGTGTGTTGGTTCATTGATGTTGGCAGCTAGAGTATTAAGACCGGACATTTTCTATTCAGTGGAAGTTGCTAGTAGATTCTTTAACAATTTAACTGTTGCACAATGGAATGCAGTAAAAAAAATCATTCGTTAGCTGAAAAGCACACCAAGCTATGGAATTGAATACAAGAGAGAACCAGACCACAGTTTAATTGGTTTTTGTGACGCTGACTATGCAGCAGACAAGTAAACGAGAAAGTCAACAACAGGCTATGTGTTCAAAGCCTCAGTTGGTCCGATAACTTGGTCAAGCAAAAGACAGTCAGGGGTTACCTTATCAACCACTGAAGCTGAGTATGTAGCTACCTGCCAGGCTACCAAAGAAGCTGTATGGTTGCGTCAACTTCTGAGTTATATTGGAGTACCAGTAAATGGTGCAACAACATTCTATATTGATAACCAAAGTGCCATCAAGTTGATATACAATCCTGAATTCCAAAGTCGTACGAAACATGTTGACGTTCATTTCATTCGAGAGACATATCAAAATGATGAGATTTTGCCAAAGTATGTTTGCACAAAGAAACAGGAAGCCGATATTTTTGGAATGTACTTAAGTGATTGACTACTGACTTCAAGAATACCCAATAAAATTCTATTCATGCTTCAATTAATAATTGCCTGCAATTTTATCAAAAACCACTAACTATGTCCCAGTTTTAAAACTCATTCTCATCGTATCTAACTTGACCCTGTCAACTTGTCCATATATAAACCAGAAATAACATCATAAACAAAGTTTAATTTTCAAATTCGTATTCATGGTTGTTAGCGCCCGTTAATTGCACCACTGACCAAATTTGCAACTGCGTCCATTTTAAAACTAAATCCTCATACAAGCCAATGCCATTTTTACTGAGTATCACAAGCTAGAAAAAAATATTGTTCCGCGGTCCCTATACGGATAGTGACAATAATTGGAGTAGTTGTTTTTTTCAGTCCATCCATGTTTTTTTCCGAAAGAAAGTGTTTTTCCAATGCTGGGTTATGGGTTCCTCTTATCTTTTGCATGGAAAACGGTTTCTTCAAGCTTTAAAGAATCTTGGTATCAAATTGGTATGTGCGCTAAATCCGAAATATAAACACAAAATATATTTCGTGAAAATGATATGTTTAGAATTATGGACTAACCGTATGACCTAACAGATTTCTTCACCATTGACAAAAGAATAGCTTCATTGGTCATCATGTCAACATGTTTCGTGAAAATGACATGTTTCACAATTATTATCGCGAAAACGCCTGTTCACCCAGATTTTTCGCAAATAGAAAAGTGGTCCGACTCTTCAAAATGAAGCTACTTAGAAAGTTACAGACGAGAGGTAATTAGAAAATCGCTTTTCATGAGACCATGAATCTTATTTCTCGAATATACCCATCTATAGTCTTGATTCTCTGGCTTAGAATGTTTTTTTTATACTTGTCAAGTATCAAATTGAAGCTCTAGTCAAGATGTCATGGACTCAGCCATTGGAGATATATAAAGACGTTCTTGGACTCTGTTAACTTGTACTTACAGCTGGCTATTCAATAGCCCTCAATGAAAGCCTGTTAATCATAATAAGTGAGAGTGCTTGCAGATTTACAATAGTTGAAGACAGACTGGATGCATTAATATTATTAATAATGATCAATAGTGAAAACGATTTTTCACACAATCTTAAATTCAACTGAAATATGGCATGGTTTGTAACAAAGTATAGCATTTTTCTTCGAGGTGAAGATTCGAATGACTTTACAGACCGGACCAACCTACTAGACTCATAGGCAGTAATAGGACGAATTAGCATGTACCCGGCCTCAGCGAATCAAATCGGTGCTACCAAAGCCGAGTATAGGGGAGTTTCCGAAGCCGAGTAGGTACAGGGGCTGCTGCACATATTTTAATAACATGCTGTGACCTGGCGTATGTGTCTAGTAGCCTGGTCCTGTCAGTAGGTATTCTTTGATACAATTTTTTTGAAAATGCTTTTCAAAGTTTCTCACTTTGTTTTACCTGCATGTTTTATCATTTAATATAATTTTTTGACTTAGGGGCGGTTCTGAAGTTCTTACCTGCTCTGGTAATACGGGCCACATTAAATCGACTTGTATAGTTGACTTTGAAATAATTTTCAACTATAGCTCTTTCCTGTTTGCCTTCTCCATTGATAGGACTGAAAAGGTATTCTGGATCTATATTGTTGTGCAGTCTTTGATACCCAGTCATGCCTAATATGGTTATTAGTATAGGAACTATCAAGAAGTATCCGGGATGTTTGCCTACTAATAATCCTAGTTTGTAGAAGCTTTTGTTCAGGTAGTCGTCTACGATTTTTAGGCCAACCATCTGAAAAAAAATATATCAGGATTAGTAAATCGTATACAATAAATAGGCATTTTTAGCCTAAATTTCGGATAGCTCCCTGGATTCCTTATACAATTTTTCAATAATTAGACCATAGAATTATATCATATTAAATGAGTTCACGGTCAGTCGCAAAGCTCTATATATTTTTTGATTCAAAAATCCAAATATGGTTTTCACAAGCATCCAAGAAAATTTGAATTCATAGGGCGTCTGTAACATTGACGAAACAATTGTTATGCGTGGTAAGGTTGATTGATTTCATGCCAAGTTACATATAATATCAAATAGGATTGATTTGTAATTAATTTAAAAATAAATATAATTGAATGATCAATATTTTTTTATTAACAAAAACTAATTAATTTTTAATTGAATAACAATACTTAGACCGTTTTATAGGTTTGGGAAAACTGTATTTATTTCGGAATATTGTGACGTGACCATGCATTTATCAGGCTGCAGAATAATTTAAATTTGAAATAAAATAAATTAACTACCTAACTATAACTGCAAACCGAGAATAATTTTTATGGTTTAGTGCGAAGCAATGCATTATTGAAAATTTGAAATGTTTCAATACAATCATTTTAAGCCAGACAACTTGTAACAAAGCTATTGTTGTTTGAAAATGCAAATATCAACTTTGGCAGTGAATTCACGAATTGTTCATGAATTAGTAGGTACAGCGTGAGTCACTATAATTTTACACCCACCTGCAGCCGTAATCACAGGTGATAGGTGAAAGTTGCAAATACAAAAATTGTAGCATTTTATCTGAACCACCAGAATTTGTAATTAGATTGAAAAAATGAGCAACACAAAATTAAAAAATATGTCAATGTTCAGTTTTTTTAAATGGAATGCACTTTATTTTCTTCCAAATTCTTAAAGTTCTCGTTTTTCTGATTCAGATTATATAATATATTAATGTTTATTTCAATAGTTTTGGAAATATCTGAAGTTTAGTTATTCAAAGACCTATTATCACGTATCAGAATGTTTTGTAAACAGGTGACAGGTGAATCAAGGTAAAATATATTCAAAAAAACTACTGTCTTTGAATAACTAAACTCCAGATATTACCAAAACTATTGAAAGAAACATGTACATTATCATATAATCTGAATCAGGTAAAAAGGAGAACTTTAAGAATTTGGAAGAAAATGAAGGGCATTCCATTTGAAAAACATCGACATATTTTTTTTATTTTGCGTTGCTCATTTGTCCAATCTAATCAAAAATTCTGGCGGTTCAGATAAAATGCTACAACTTTTGTATTTACAACTTTTACCTATCACCTGTAATAACGGCTGTAGGTGGGTGTCAAAATATGGTGACTTACCCTGTATGTGCCTAGGTCTGAGTTCTGGCAATGTTCGAAAATAACGGAGTAAAAATGTAAAATAATTCAGAAGACAAACAAATATCCTATGAATCCATTTTTTTTTTAATTTTAAAAATTTACAATTATTTGATTACAAATTCCGTTGCGTGTCGATCTTTCCGTTCTCAAAATATTCACTACCTTTATCGGATGAAGAATAAGTGCCCAAAACAACTATTTTTGGTCATATCAGACGTGAAAAAGGATCAAGAAAATACCCAGAGTATCGATATATTGGAGGGCACGAGGAAGCATCTTCCGACATTGCATATTCTTTCTCTGACCACTTTGCAAGTTACTACGTGGTACACGATAGACTGATCTTTGAGATGTCATCTTATTCTTTTTTTTTTGTCACTTCTATCCATCCACTCCTGGATGTAGGTCTCTCCTAATTGTTTCATCTTTCTCTGTCCTTCACAAATCTCAGCCACTTTTACCTGCCACTGTCCTTTTGTCATTCACCCATCTTTTTTACCCTTCCCGTGCTTCTTGTTGCCTCCCTTGGTTTCCATTCCAGGATTCTTCGCGTCTATCTGTATCGTATTTGGTTACGTGGCCAGCCCATCGCCATTCCATCTTTGCTACCTCCTCCACAATGTCCCTGACTTTCGTTTTGCGTCTTCACTCAACAAAACCCCAGATGAGTGAACCAATCAGTCAGCCTCAGGGATTCTTGAGGAATGTAGTGTTGCTATACTGCATTCAAAACTATTTTAATGCGTCTTAATTTCGTTCACTTTTCGAGAATTCCGCGCTCTTCTCGATATTCACGACTATGGATTCAAAAGAGATGTCAAGAGCTTCAGAGGAGTCTCCAAACTTTTAACAAGGAGCAAAATATTCCGAGTCCGGAGTCCGTTACTACTGACTAGCCTTTTGATGGAAATAAGCCCCACATAGCACAAATGCAGATTTTTCACAGTCTATTTATAGAGCTACGAATTTAGTTATACAAGGTCAGAAATCTGGAAGCGGCTAATTATATCCAAAACGACAGATGACAATTTAACGAAATCTGGTTATTCCATATGTCAGATTCAAAACTAGTGTCGGGTATCTTGTCAGATATTTAATTCGTCTGTAAACTAACCAAATAATGGAATGTGATATTTTTATTTTTACAGCATTCGATTCGCCGTATTTGCTTAAGTACCCATAAGTTAAAACTGACATTTTAAAATAAACTATACTTAAATACATAATGACTAAATTCCTATTTTTATTATACATTATACATTTCAATGCTGTCTTCAAAAATTTTAACTTGTCTTTTCTACGCTACCGATTTGCATATTATTTTTTTTTAATAAGGTCTGTTAACGACATCCGTCCGTAGTTCTGTCTAAAATATAATAGTTTTGTTAAACGGTGTGATGTCAGTTACTTTAAAAACTTGAGGCAGATAAATGTAAAGTGATGAAGCTCTCTCTACACGTGCAGGAACCCAAATTTTCATGATTATTTCATCAACGGGGACTGTTTGGGAATATGTGTCATCTAATGATGTAGGTGTATGAACATATCGAACATAGGGCTTTCTAATGCAGGACCTGTGAATACTGAGTGACGCAAATGCAATTACAACTCTCTTTTACATAATTCTGTTTCCTGTAGCATAACAGTGTGCTTATACCAACAGCAGCACATTGAGCGAGTTAAAATTGTAGTCACTAAATTCAAAAAAATATGTGAAGTCCTATAATGTTTGGGTTATAAAGTCAAGTAAAATATTGGGCTTTTTACTTCTACATAAAAGATCGTAAAGCACCACGCTCTACTTTGAAGACCTACTGACTTAGTATGCCATCAGGCGTGTTCTGGCGCCGTTGAACGAGCAACTTTTAATTTTCCCGTAATTTTGTGTAATCCGACATGAAACGATGATTAAGACAGAATACTTTCTCTTAACGAACGAGTGTATTATTTTAGATAGACAAGAATATGGAATTGTTGTCGATATATTGAAAATTGAACTTGTTTGATCAGACTAGTGACAACTACCAGTATATTCACTAATTGGTCTGAAGTTTTCTTTACTGAAAATTTGTTGAAGCTAATTCAGGTATATTATAACCCTGAAGTCAATAACGTTGTTGCAAATACAAAATACAATATTCCTCGTCAATATTCGGATGCAAATCAGATCACAGGGGCATAGGCTACTTGTTTAGGTTATAATCAACTGATAAAATTTTCGTGGGTAGCTACCACCAGCAATGATGAGTGTTTTCTGTCTGATCAAGACAGTTTATTACGACTCAAAAATGATCTCCAATCTACGTCCCTCTAGCGCAAGTTCTGGGTTCGATACCCTGGAATGCGCTCTATGATAAAGTCCTCTGCCTGCATTGATTCCAGTGAACAGGAATATGAAATCACAAACGCTAATATATGCGAACGATTTGGAGAATATGATTAGAGTAAAAAAAGAAGATAAAATTGGAAGCAAATCCGGAATAAGTGGTTGAATAACGGATGAAAGGACAATAAAAGTTGCTGCGGCATAAACGCAACTGATATAGTTGAACGTAGGCAGCTGAAGGAAATCGAAATATGACATAATGTAGTTCTTACATAGGATTCGTAAAGGCATATTTTTATAGGAAGTCGTCTTTGATTAAACACAAGAAGCTCATCACTAGTTCAACATCCCTATGAGAATCACGTCGCAACTAAAAGGTCCAAAATAAAGTAAAAAGAGACTCCTACTGGCTAGCGTTGTACAAACAAAAATACTATATGGCGTAAAATTGTGGTATTGTGGAGTGAAGCACTGAAGTATAAAAATATCATAGGGTTGATGACTCTAGAACAGAATCTTCAGACGTATACTCGAGAGGCAATGGTTGGTCTACCACCAATAGATCTGTGCGTAAAGGAAAGAGTAGAAATACATAAAAATGCCATAAATTTGAAAATACAAACACATTCGTCACTACATGGTGAGGAATATGAATGCTGGACATAAGACCTACATTATATCAGAGATGTTGAAAAATGAACAAGTAGCTAGACTACTACATCGTCCAGGCTCTCACCTTTACTTAATGTCTGTCGGATATGACTAAGGCAATGAGCATCGAAGCGCGAATTATAATATTATTGAAATTTCATCTATAGTCTGTTCTTTATTCCCAGGGTACACATAAATGTGTCAGAATGCATTTATTATAATAAGTTCATTAGCGTACCTACATAACAAGAAAAATTAACGAAATATTGATAGGACTGCAAGCAGATTATAATTGTTAAAATCTTTTACCTGCGCCTATGGGTAGTTACCCAGCCCTACACCAACTGGTGACAAGAGTAGAGAACTCACTAGAAAACAAGGAAATCGCACTAGTACGGCATTCCTTGACATAGAAGGCGCCTTTGACCACACCTCCTTCAACCCCATAGTCAGAGCTGCTGGGCAACATGAGATTAATGATACCACATGCAGATGGATCAAGTCCATGCTAAAACACAGGACTATAAATTCGACTATCGCTGAAACCTCTATTAAAAAAAACCGCGACAAAAGGATGTCCACAGGGCGGAGTACTTTCACCACTCTTGTGGAATCTAGTCGTGGATGAACTTCTGAGGA